TGTCTCTCCATGTCTTAATAAACTGGTAAGACACTGTAACTCCTGTGAACTAGAGAACACTGTAACCTTTCGTGTGCTGTGATGCTGAAGGAATAAAGACACACAGCTCTTGAGCTCTGGAGCTGCAGCTCCAGCTCTGCTCTGCTCTGACGCTGCCCTGATGCTGATAAATGTCTCATCTCTTTGTTGTTCTTTACTGGGGAATTAATTAACTCACTCATGAAACAAAGGACTATATGGACTAAACAGATCCCTCTCCAGGTGCCTCCAGGGGAGGCTCGGCCCTGCCTTGGCTCACAATGGCCCAACATTTCTTGTTGGATGTTTGGTGGAAAATATTTCACAGTGGTGAAAGATCTCAGAGGGGAATGAACCTGGTGAGCCCCAGTTTCCCTGGACCAGATCGAGAATTAGAGCAAGAGCAGCACCTCTGGCTCCCCCAGGCTACTGAGATCCCGGGAGCAGCAGTGAGCATCCTGCTGAGGCTCCCGGGAGCTCAGCCCTGGAACAGTAACTGGTGCAAAGTAGGAGCTCAATAAATATCTGCTGCATTATTGTTGGAAAAGAACTTTTGCTTTAGGTAGAATTACTAAGGGCTGCATAGAACACAGTGTCATGCAGAAGACTGTATCCTGGGGTTAGACCAACCTCATTTTCAGCATGACAAGGAGTGATTCACCTAGCAGAGAAAGAAAACATTTTTTTCATGAAGAAAGATCATGAGAGCAGATCCAGGTTAACAGCTAGAATGTCTCCATTTGAAACTAGCATTTGAGCCTGGTGTGGTGGTACACACCTGTAATCCCAGCATTCCAGAGGCTGAGGCAGGAGAATCACTGTGAGTACTAGGCCAGCCTGGGCTACATAGTGAGTCCAAGGCCAGCCTGAACTACTTTTAGGTGAGACCCTGCCTTAAAAAAAAAAAAAAGAAAGTAAAGAAAAGAAAAAAGGAACTACCCCATGAAGAATTTAATTTTTTAAAAGAATTTCCCCCTTGGATTATGGGGAAATTTACTTTTGGTAAACAATTTAAAATTCAAGCATACTCATAAAGTCATCCTGAACATATTTAGCCAAAGATTTCACATCTAACCCATTCTGGTCCTTTTGGATGGTAGATACACTTGTTTGGAAGTAGTAATTTGAATATGTAAGCCAGTTTCCTAGAGGCAAATGTGAAAGTTCAGAATTTAAGACTGAGATATTGCCAGTTAGGAATAATCTGTATGTTTGTATTCCAAGTGATCATATTGGTGAAGAGAATTTGTTACATTTGAGGAAGAACATCAGTCTCATTATTCCCAATTAAAATATATAGTTCTCTAATTGACTTTCATTTTAGTTGAAAGATATACGATAATTTTACAAAATTATGGAATCTTTCTGAGAACTTGAAAGTGAGTATAAATTAAATTAGACTTCAAAAAAGTAGTTTAAGTGCTTTGAAAGGTTAACTGGTCAGGTCAGGCCATAAGAGAAATTCAAATATACTAAATTAATAGTATTCAATTTTTTGATATAATTTAATTCATTGTAAATGGGACCATTTGTTTAAAGGAGTGTGGTCTATTGAATTTGAGTTGGTGAAAAAAAAAATCAAAGTTCCTCTTAACAGTAATTCTTAAAATACATTAGCCAGACATGGTGGAACATCCCTGTAATCCCTGTTACTCTGGAGGCTGAAGTCAGAGGCCAGCCCAGGGAACCTAGTGAGACCTTTCTAAAAGCAAATTTTAAAAGAGGGGAGGGCCCCATGGTAGAGTGCTTGCCTGGCATATGTGAGGTCCTGGGCTCAATCCCCAGTAATGCAATTTTTAAAAAGTATTAGATTTATAAATACAATATTATTACTGAAGACTTAAGGGACAATAAATTTAAAGTATGTTATTACTTTTAAATTGAGCATGTTTTTCTTTTGCTGTACCGAGAATTGAATCCAGGGGTGCTGTAGGGAACCCAGAGAAGGCTAACAGAATGTCATTACAGAATATCTTAGCACTTAGAATATCTTCCCCATACCCTAATTCCTCACAGGGTGATATAATAAAGGACAACTGTTTACCTGTGCATGCAACAGGGTTTGTATCACAGAAAATAACTCCCAAAAGAGGAGATTTGGAGTTTAAACAGGGCACCTGGTATATCTGTTTCTTCTCCCCTCTGGAGAGAAAGAAGGGGGATGAGAACAGGACCTTTTCTCTTATTCTCTAATGTAAACAAATCATCTCCTGGGAGGAGAGTTTTATAACCCTGGAATATAAACAAAGGAGAAGGAAAGTTGTTCTATTACTTGTAGAATGTGAGCAAATGGCTCCACGGAAGATATGTTTCTAAATCTCTCTCCAGAACAATTCTCTATCTCTGACTACCAAAATATATATGTTATTCAGTCATAAAGCCCACAGTATGTAAAAAGAGAAAACTATTTACAGAGAATTAATTATCATTCAACAGGGAAAAAGACTAAGATTATACCCTTATGATAGCACTAACTATAATCAGCTAAGAAGTTATCTACAGTCCTCACTAGGGTTGGTATCTTGTTATTGAATTCCTAGCACCCGACACATAGTGCCTGGCATAGTGGGGAATTAATACAGGTTTTCGGAATGAATCAAATATGTTTAAGGGAAGATCCACACAGTGAAATGCTTTTTTGTCTGGATGAGCCTTCCTTCTCTAATTTCCTACCAAAGCATTTCTTAAATTTGAGCTCTTGAAATTCCAAGAATATATATCCACAGGCAATGGTGTGAGGAAGCCCAACTATACAGATAGGAATCTTGTGGCTGTCTCTGGTTATAAGGTGGCTGTCCACAGAGGGGCAGTACAGTGTAATGGTTTAAAATGCGGGTCTTGCTAGTAATCCCACTGCCCATGTTCTTATTTCTTACAATAAAAAAATTGACACAAAATTTCAGAATTTGATAGGGAAATTGTGGACTTCCTGAAGGATTTTTTTTAAATGGGCAAGCTACACAAAAGTTCAACCTTAGTCAACTTTAGTTGACACAAAAGTTCCTGCTTGCTTGCCATTTTCTTCCATATAGGAGAATATAATTTGCCATGCAGGATTTAAAAAAATAAAAAAATGTATATTCTATTTAGCAGCCTTTTATGGGTTCTAAATTTTCTTTAAAAGATTTTTCTTGTAATTCAATCAGATTTTTTATTATGAAATAATAAATTGTCTCATGTTTTCTTCTAGTGCTTTTATTATTACATTGTTCAGATTTAATTTTTGACCCATCTGGAATTTATTTTGATACAAGGTGTGAAATATGATTCCAATTTTATTTTTCTCCTAGATGGCTACCTAGTCATATGAAATGTCACCTTCATTGCATTCAGAATTTTTATATGCTACAAAGGACTAATACTTTTTGCTCTACTTTGACTGGGAAGATCTTTATATGCATTTTTTAACTCTCCCAGTTAAAAAGTTGTTGTTTTAAAACATTTAAAAAGTTGTATCTACCCTTCAGTATGATATCCCAACAAGATTTTGTCTTCACTTCATGAATTTGTCATTACAGTACCAAGCTCGTTTCAGTTTCTTTAAAGTGTACTGCATACAGCGTTCAAATATTATGAACATTTCTCTCTCCCAGCTGTCACTACACCAAACTACATATGCTAGATTTTCCTAAATCATCTCGCTGTGCTCTTTGCCGCTCTGCACACTGTCGATGTCTTTATCTAACAAGTTGCTCAAAAGTTACTATAATTACTTCAGGTGAGGACTCAGAGTGAAAGCCTAGCGTCCCCATTCTGTTCCTTGCCAAATGGGCATTACCTTCCATTTAACAAGAAGGACAGGCTGTGTTTCTGGGAAATAACAGATTTTGGAGAGCTATGACAGTTATTATTTTTTGACCCTGTAATCCACCTGGAAGGGGGGAGGGAGCAGTCCTACAAGATGCCAGCTGCGATTGTGGAAAGTTTTTGCTATTTATTCCATCAAAATGATTCAGAAGGAAAAGGCTTACCCTGTACTAGGTCTTGAACCCAAAGAACTGTTTGCACGGATGTTCAGCCAAGATGCGTCGCAGCCTCCACCTCAACAGATGCTCTTTGAAAACATTTCACGGCTCTCAGCAGTCAGTCCCACTGAAGGGGAGGGGGAGGCCGCCAGAGACAGCTCTGTTGGCAAAGGCGGGCCTAAAATTCCTATTTAGGAGTAGAACCAAAATATGTTTGGCTTCTGTTGTCTAAAACCTCAAGTGAGGACCAAAAAAAAAATTTTTTTTACTCTCCCTCTTGAATGGGCGGGCCTTTGGTGTCTCAATCACAGACAAGAGACAGCAAATGGGAAGAAAGTCACCGAGAACAGAGGAAATCAGGAATACGGAGGTAGGAAGCCAGACATGGAAAGCCTGGAGTGGGGGGGGGGGGGGGGGATGCTGGGGGGTCGGCATATTGGATCTCTTAACCTTGACTAGGGTAAGTATCTTCAAGGTCAGCTCTAGTCCGGGTCAGCCGCCTCCGCTCAGTACCTCCGAGCTCCGCCTCAGAGTCCTCTCCCTGACATCAGTACCTCCCTCAGCTCACGGGCGCCCTAGCGCTCTTCGATTCTAGACCCCAGTCCTCAGCATCCTTCTTCCTTAGCGCCCCTCGTTCCTCCCCCTGCCACGCCTTCGGACCCGCCCACCGCGGACCCGCGCGCCCCGCCTCGCGGTCCTCACCCCGCCCACTTGAGAGGCGCGCGCCGGATCGGCTCTCTTTAGCGCCAAACCCGTCGGTCCGCGACGCGGGGGTAGCCGGCCTCGGCGTTCCGGCCAGAGTTAGAATCCTGAGGACCTAAAAGCTCTCGCGGGGAG